ACATCTTGTTGAAAATTCTAACTCTTCCCAATTATGAATAAAGTGCTTCTAAACATTCTTATGTAGGTTTTGTGCGAACATAAGGTTTCAGCTCATTTGGGAAAATACCACCGACCGTGATTGCTGGCTCTTACTCTATGTAGTGACAGTGTATTTTATTCTGAAAGAAGATTCCTGTCTTCAGTGTGGGTGTTCCCATTCCCGTTTCCCCCTGGGATGAACGAGGATTCCCTGTGGCTTTCCATCTTCACCGATATTTGCTGTTCTGAATATTTTGACTTTTACCAATTTAATAAGTGTTTAGTGATCCCCATTGTTTTCTTTGCAATTTCCTAATGACATTTGATGAGGATTATGTTTCATTTTGCTTATTTCCCATCTAGATCTCTTCTTCAGTGAGCTGTCTGCAGATCTTTTGCCCATTTTTAATTGCATTTTTTTACTCTATCAAAGTTTAAGAATTCTTTGCATGTTTCACATACCCGTCATTTATCCAACGGTGTTTTACAGACATTTTCTCTTACTCTGAATTGTGTTGATCTTCCCTTTACCCCATCTTTCTCAGAGGAGGAGTCTTTCCTTTTAATTAAGTGAAATTTCTGGTGTTGTCTTTTGTGGACCTTGCCTTTGGTTTTCTATGTGAAAATTCATCAACATACACAAGGTCATCCAGATTTTCTTCTGTGTTCTCTTGTAGGAGTTTATTCCTTTGGCATTTTACATTCAGATGTGTGATGTGTTTTGACTTAATTTTCCTGAAAAGTGTCAGGCCTATGACTACATTTGTTTTGTGTGTGTGTATTTGCACGTGGGTATCCATTATTTCTACCACTGTTTTTTAAAATACCTTCTTTGTCATTTGAATCTCCTTTCCTTCTTTGTCAAAAATCAGTTGACTCTATTCATGTGAGTCTAGAAGGAAAGCAGTCGACTCACATATCCTGCAAGCTTGCTGTACTCTCTCATTAATCCCAGGAGTCATTTCTGTCATTGTGAATTCTTCCAGTTGTTGCGTAGAGACAATCATATCATTTGGAACAAACACCATGAATTCAGCTACAGGATTTGTGAAGATGTTCTTTCTCAAGAAGTGGAAGTTCCCCTCTATTACTAGTTTATCATAAATGGATGTTGCATTTTCTCAATTCTTAGTTTATATTCGTTTTGGACAAGCAGCTTTTTTCTTTTCATTTTGTCCATTGATTTCCCACAATGACATTCATTTCCTTTCTGATTTTTATTATTTTTGCTTTGGATTTAATTTGTTCTTTTTATTCTTTGCTAAGGTACATGCTTGCATTAGTGACTAGAGAGCTTTGATTTTTCCAGTGTATTTCTTTGATGGCATGAATTTCCCCCTATATACTCCTTTCGCTACATCCAGGAACCTTTGCTATGTTGTGTTTTCATTCTTTTAGTTCAAAATAATTTTTCATTTTTCTTGAGACTTGTAGTTTGATTCTCTGTAGTTTAGAAGTGTATTTTTGGATCTCCACATATGAGGGGGTTTTCCGACTATTGCTGGTATTGACTTCTAGAGGAATGCCTATGTGGTGTGAGAGAATATTTTGCATGATTTCTGTTCTTTCAGATTTGTTAAGGTGTGCTTTATGTCCCAGAATGTGGTTTGTTTTGGTGAATGTTCCATGTGAACCTGAGAAGAATGTATATTCTGCTGTTCTGTGAGTATTCCACAGATTACAGTGAAACCCAGCAGTTTCGCAGTGCTGTTCATTGCACCTCTGTCCTTCCTCACTTCCTGCCTACTGAAATGTCTAATTCCCGATGAGGGGGTGTTGACTTCTACAGCTGTGGTACTGGATCTGTATATCTCTCCTGCATTTTATCAGTTCCTCCCTGAGGTGTGTTGCCCCTCTGTTGTTAGGCAGGTACACATGCAGCGTTGCTGTGCCTTCTCAGAGAATAGGCCCCTTTATCCGTACCTGCTGCCCTTCTATCTCTGCATCTTCCTCAGTTTGAAATCTGCATTGTCTATGATGCCTATTCCTCTGGCAGCTTCCTTTGGATTCGTGCTGGCATGGTCTGTTTTTCCCCATCCCTTTACCCTTCATCTGTCTCTGACTTTATAGTTAGAGTGGGTTTCTTGTAGACAACATATAATGGTCTGGTTTTTTGTTAAAGATTGGCGCCTCAGGTAACATCTGTTGCCAGTCATTTTCTTTTTTCCCTTTCTAGATTGCCACCTGAGCTAACAACTCTTGCCAGACTTTTTCTGCTTTTTCTCCCCAAATCCCCACAGTATATAGTTATATCTTCTAGTTGGGGCATGTGAGATGCTGCCTCAACATGGCCTGATGAGTGGTGCCATGTCCGCGCCCAGGATCCGAGCCCTGGACCACTGAAGCAGAGTGCACGAACTTAACCACTTAGCCTCAGGGCTGCCCCTATAATGGTATTTTTTGAAATCTATTACTGTGTCTTTCAGGTGTAATGAGACCGTTGATGATTCAAGTTTTTATTGATTCAGTTGGATTAATATTTACGCAAATTTTTACTTTCTCCATTTTTACCTTTGTTTTTGTCTTTTTGCCACCTTCTCTGGCTAAAATTGAGCATTTACTGTAATTCTTTTTTCCCCCTCTCTTAGCATATCTGTTACACACATTTTAGTGGTTCCCCTTAAATTTTCAGCATACATTTACAACTAAGCCACCCCTCTGCCAAGTGACACTGTGCCACTTCACTGTGTGCAAGTACCTCTTACACACTGTCCCCAATTTTCCTTTTCCTGTGTCTTCTCACATTGCTGTCATTTATTTCTCTTGCCGGAAGCTTCTCATTACCAAATACATTCTTCCTCACATTAGTTTAAACAAAGTGTCATCTGTTGTATTAATTATAGGAAACATAAAAGATACTTCCCCTCATTTTTTCTTCTTCTAATGCCCTACCTTTATCATTTACATTCTTTCCTGTAAACTTTTGAACAGTTTCCTTCAAAGTATGTGTACTCGGGACGAATTTCCTCCAATTTTGTCTTAGAAAGTCCTTGTACTGAAGGATAATTTTGCTTGACTGAATTCTGGGAAAGTGGGTTTTATTTTCAACACTTTAAATCTTTAAGTCTCCTCTGTTGTTGTTGCATGGTTTTTGAGAAGAAGTCCGATTTAACTCAAATCTTTGTTTCTTTCTGTCGAAGGTGTGTTTCTTCTCTGGGATTTTTCAGTACATTCTCTGTCTGTGATGTGTCTCTAGTTTCACGGTGATACCCTTGGGTGTGCACTTTGTACTTTATTGTAGTTTTCCCTGAGCTTTCTGGACGGACAGTGTTCTGGCTGTCATTAATTTTACGGTATTTTGGTCATTACTATTTCACGTTTTCCTCTGTCTCGCTCTGCTTTTCTTTTCCTTCAGGTTTTCCCATTATGTGGATTTTAAACCTTCTCTTGTAGAGGCTGTCCTAGGCTTCATGGAAATTGGGTTCTCTGTTTCTTGTGATTTTTGCCCTTGCATTAGACTCTGGGGAAATAGATTTCTTTTTTTTAGTACAGGCCTTATTAAGAATAGAACATGTGGGGCAGATTCCAAAATGCCATCTTTCTTTTTGTCTTTCCCAAGTTTGGAGACTCTGGTTTGTCCTGGGACCTCAAGGCTCTCCTGGATCTAAGAAGGGTTGTACATCTCAAGTTTGTTCATTTTCTTCTTGTGAGATCAAGAATGACAGCTTCTAAGCTCCTTAGGCGCAGGATCAGAAGGCGGCAGGGCATCATCCAGAGTGGGTGGTCAGGAAACAGTTCCTCTTGAAGTTGGAGAAAGGAAATTTTATGTTCTTTTGGAGCAAACCAATGTCAAATTTATAATCATGGGCACATTTAACATCAAAGCATTGTGGACTTCAAGGAGCTCCCTTGCAATCTGCAGCTCTCTATTTTTTGTGTTCTTTAAAGGTTTCCACCTGAGCTAACAACCGTTGCCGATCTTCTTCTTTTTTTTTTTCCCTGCTTTTTTACCCCAACCCCCCAGTACATAGTTATATATTGTACTTGTGAGTGCCTCTGGTTGTGCTATGTGGGCCGCTGCCTCAGCATCACTTAATGAGCAGTGCCATGTCCAAAGTGGAGTGCACGAACTTAACAACTCAGCCACGGGGCCAGCCCCAATCTGCAGCTCTTAACCTACCCTTCAAGGGGAGCAAAGCTCAGGGTACTCCGTTGACATTTGACTAGAAAGAGCTCTTATGGCACATTATTATGTCAGAGTGTGTTCTAAAAATGCTGACAAGTAGCTTTGAGGCCAGTGAGTGTAGGGATCTTGTGGTCTAAGTTTTCATGGCGTCTTCCTTGTGGTTGAGCTCTCAGTTCATCATAATTTCAGCCCCATCAAATCATACAGAGTGAGAAAGGTAGAACCGAGTCTATGATAGATACTACACAAGTTAAAGCAACGTTTTACCACAAGAGGATTTCTATTCAGCCAGCTGCATTTGCTTACCTGTAATGGCCTGGAGTACTTTAGGACAGTGTGGGCAGCTGGGCTTGGTCAAAGTGTCATTTCACAGGCCTCCTGGACTCTTAGTTTGGTGACGGGACCAGACCAAAAAGCTTCCAGTTATTCACTGTGTTTCTATGCCCTGACACATCCCTTAGATTTCACCCTCTGCCTCATGGAGTGCTGTAACCGGTGGGTAGTATGGAAGAAGATGAAACAAGTTTTCTTACGAAGAATCGTTGGTCCACAAATGATATTTGCTTCATTTGTATAGCATTTCTGTCATTTCCCAACCTTTTCTGGAACTTGTTATTAGAGAGAAATCGGATGTAATGTCATCACAGTAAAACTGTGTAAATATTTCCACGTGTTCATAATATTGTTAAATTGATGAGATTGTGTACAGAAGACAGCGAGTTTGTGATGATCACAACATAGAATAAATGTTTGGAGATTATAGAATCCCATGTAACCTTCCTAGAATTGGAGTACAGATCCCCAGTGCTGTCAGGCTCACGTATTGTAATCTACACACATTTGTGGTCTTTTAGGACTCAGTGACCATTGAGGACGTGGCTGTGAACTTCACCCCAGAGGAGTGGGCTTTACTGGATCCTTCACAGAAGAGACTCCACAGAGATGTGATGTGGGAAACCTCCAGGCACCTGGCCTCAGTAGGTAAGAATGAGGACATTCTGTCACTGCATTAATGAGAGAGCAAGTGCTGCTTGACCATCAAGAGTGTTCCAAGGGGCTGGCCTGGTGGCATGGCGGTTACATTCACACATTCCACTCCGGCGGCCCAGGGTTCACTGGTTCAGATCCCGGGTGTGGACATGGCACCGCTTGTCAAGCCATGCTTTGGCAGGCGTCCTACGTATAAAGTAGAGGAAGATGGGCACAGGTGTTAGCTGAGGGCCAGTCTTCCTCAGCAAACAGAGGAGGATTGGCAGCAGAAGTTAGCTCAGGGCTAATCTTCCTCAAAAAGAAAAGAAACAACAGGGTTCTAAAGTGTAGAATGTGGAATGGTGAGGTTGTTAGTAAAGTAGAAATGGTCATCGATTATCACATACTTAAAATCTAAATATTCTTCTATAGTTTCTAATAATTGGAATAAACGTTCTTTGTCTGCATTTCAGGAATAACATGGGAAGGTCATGATATTGAAGATCAGTACAAAGACCTGGGGAGAAAACTCCGGTGAGTGACACAGTAGAAAGCTCTGTCTCATGTAAGAATCCTTGCATGTCAAGACAGTTGTTTTAAAAAGAGCAAACAAAAGAAATAGCCCTTGCTTCACATTTAGGTATTCTTCAAAGATTTCCGTCAAGTACGCTTTCTGAAATGTGATGTAGTGATTCACGTTTTGCAATATATTTTACTTATTAATAGTAGTAATGAATCGGAGCTATGAATATTGCTGTTTGGATAATAGCGGAAAATTCAGTATATTTATTTCAGAGAATTCACAGAAGGAAGAAAACAAACATTTCCTATAAATCATAATAAACATAAGAAATATAAAATCATTGATAGAGAAATCACTAACAGTGTGCTTCTCATTTGTACAGAAAGCATATGGTAGGGAGACTCTGTGACAGTGAAGAGGATAGTCAGTGTGGAGAAAACGTCAGCCTTCTTCCAAATCTCAGTCTGAACAAGAAAACTACAGGAGCTAAACCATGGGGATGCAGTGCATGTGGAAGAGCTTTCACACGTCATTCATTGCTGAAAATGCACATTAGATGTCACACTGAACATAAAACATATGAGTATCAAAAACATGGAGAGAAGCCATATAAATGTAAGGAATGTGGGAAAGCCTTCACTTATCTCACTTTACTTCAAACACATGAAAGAACTCACACTGGAGAGAAACCCTATGAAAGTGAACAATGCAGTAAAGTATTCACTTCTTCTGGTTCTCTTCAAAGACATCAAAGAATTCATATTGGAGAGAAACCCTATGAATGTAAACAATGCAGTAAAGCATTCACTTTTTCCAGATATCTTCAAAAACATGAAAGAACTCACACTGGAGAGAAACCCTATGAATGTGAAAAATGCAGTAAAGCATTCACTTCTTCCAGTTCTCTTCGAATCCATGAAAGAATTCACACTGGAGAGAAGCCCTTTCTATGTAAAAAATGCAGTAAAGCATTCACTTCTTTCGGTACTCTTTCAAGACATGAAAGAACTCATACAGGAGAGAAGCCCTACGAATGTAAACACTGCGGTAAAGCATTCGCTTCCTCCAGTTATCTTCGAATCCATGAAAGAATTCACACTGGCGAGAAGCCCTTTAAATGTAAAATATGTGGTAAAGCCTTCATTTCTGCCTTTTCTCTCTCAACACATGGAAGAACTCACACTGGAGGGAAACCCTACAAATGTGGAAAATGTGGTAAAGCATTCACTTCTTCCCATTATCTTCAAATACATGAGAGAACTCACACTGGAGAGAAACCCCATGAATGTAAAAAATGCAGTAAAGCATTTACTTTTTCCAGATATCTTCAAATACATGAAAGAAGTCATACAGGAGAGAAACCCTACAAATGTAAACAATGCAGTAAAGCATTCACTTCCTCCAGTTATCTTCGAATCCATGAAAGAATTCACACTGGCGAGAAGCCCTTCAAATGTAAAATATGTGGTAAAGCCTTTATTTCTGCCTTTTCTCTCTCAACACATGGAAGAACTCACACTGGAGAGAAACCCTACAAATGTGGAAAATGTGGTAAAGCATTCACTTCTTCCCGTTACCTTCAAATACATGAGAGAACTCACACTGGAGAGAAACCCTATGAATGTAAAAAATGCAGTAAAGCATTCACTTCTTCCAGTTGTCTCTCAGTACATGCAAGAAGTCACACTGGAGAGAAACCCTACAAATGTGAAAAATGTGGTAAAGAATTTGCTTCCTCCAGTTACCTTCAAATACATGGAAGAATTCATACTGGAGAGAGACCCTATGAATGTAAGAAATGCAGTAAAGCATTCATTACCTCCAGTTCTCTTCAAATACATGGAAGAATTCATACTGGAGAGAAACCCTATGAATGTAAGAAATGCAGTAAAGCATTCACTTCTTCCAGGTCTCTTCAGATACATGGAAGAATTCATACTGGTGAGAAACCCTATGAATGTAAGAAATGCAGTAAAGCATTCACTACCTCCGGTTATCTTCAAATACATGGAAGAATTCATACTGGAGAGAAACCCTATGAATGTAAAACATGCAGTAAGGCGTTCGCTTGTTCCAGGTCTCTTCAACTACATGGAAGAATTCATACTGGAGAGAAACCGTATGAATGTAAGAAATGCAGTAAAGCATTCACTACCTCCAGTTATCTTCAAATACATGGAAGAATTCATACTGGAGAGAAACCCTATGAATGTAAAAAATGCAGTAAGGCATTCACTTATTCCAGTAATCTTAAAAAACACGAAAGAACTCACTGGAGAGAAACCCTTTGAATGTAAAAAAATGCAGTAAAGCTTTCACTTTTTCTTGTCTTCTTTCAAAACATGGAAGAACTCATACAGGAGAGAAACCCTACAAATGTAAAAAATGTGGTAAAGCATTCACTTCTTCCTGTTTTCTTCGAGTCCATGAAAGAACCCACACTGGAGAGAAACCTTATGAATGTAAAAAATGCAGTAAAGTATTCAGTGTTTCCTGTTCTCCTCGAGAGCATTTAAGAACTCACTGGAGAGAAACACTATGAATGTAGCAAATTCAATAAAGTCTTCACTGCTTCCAGTTCTCTTCGAGTCCATGTAAGAAGTCACAGTGGGGAGAAAGCCTCATAAATGTCCAGAAAGTGAGACAGCCTTTATTGCTCATGCAACCTTTTGAGGATATGTACAAATGCACACTACAGGAGAAACCAGGTAGATAGAAACAATTTGGGAAAGACTTTTGTTATCTCAGTTCTTCTTGAAGGCATGAAAGGACTCACTTGATAAAAACCTCTTGCATGTAAACAGCATGAGAAAGGCTTCAGTTGGCCTACATCCTTCCCTGTGAAACTCCCACCAAAAAGAAATGTAAATGTAAGTCATATGAGAAAGCTTCATGGAAATTAATTTGTATAATGAGGCTGTGGAAAACTTTCGACATGAAGAGTTGTTATAAAAGTAGTAAACGTATTTATCAAGCCTGTTTCTTAAAGTGCAACATTGGACTGTGGATTTGTATTAATTACTTCAGAAATGAATATTGAGGTGAGATGATTCTGCTAGTGAACATAAATGGTAAATAAGATTCATAGGTAGTGCTTTTCCCTTAAATCAGTTAATAATTTTGTAGTTTTAATTTTTTAATAATGTTTTAATTATTCTGTGTTACAGGGGCATTGAAAAATAACAGTTTGTATGTTGTGATTTTCTTACTGGCCTTGTGTTTACAGCTCCTGGATATGCCTAATTGTATATATTGTACATTTTATTTTAACTTTTTATTAAGATTATTACAACCTTGTTAAATTTCAGTTGTAACGTATTCTCAGTCATGTTGTAGGTGTACCACTTCACCCTTTGTGCCCTCCCCCCAAATCCCCTTTCCCCTGGTAAGCACCAATCAGTTCTCTTTGTCTGTATATTTAACTTCCACCTATGAGTGGAGTCATACAGAGATTGTCCTCTATCTGGCTTATTTCACTTAACATAATTCCCTCAAGGTCCATCCATTTTGTTGTGAATGGGATGATTTTATCCTTTTTTACAGCTGAGTAGTATCCCCTTGTATATATACACCACACATCTTCTTTATCCAATCATCTGTTGATGGGCACTTAGGTTGCTTCCATGTCTTGGCTATTGTGAATAATGCTGCAATGAACACTGGGGTGCATGGGACTTTTAGAATTGCTGACTTCAAGCTCTTTGGATAGATACCCAGTAGTGGGATGGCTGGGACATATGGTATTTCTATTTTTAATTTTTTGAGAAATCTCCATACTGTTGTCCATAGTGGCTGCACCAGTTTGCATTCTCACCAGCAGTGTATGAGGGTTCCTTTTTCTCTACAGCCTCTCCAACATTTGTCACTTTTTGTTTATTTTTGCCATTGTCACAGGTGTAAGGTGATATCTTAGTGTAGGTTTGATTTGCATTTCCCTCATGATAGTGATGATGAGCATCTTTTCATGTGTCTATTGGCCATCCGTATATCTGCTTTGAAGAAATGTCTGTTCATGTCTCCAGCCCAGTTTTTGATCGGGTGGTTTGATTTTTTGTTGTTGCATTGTGTGAGTTCTTTATAGATTAGGGATATTAAGCCTTTGTCGGATGTATGACTTGCAAATACTTCTTCCCAGTTAGTGGGTTGTTTTTTTGTTTCAATCCTGTTTCCCTTTTCCTTGAAGAAGCTCTTTAGTCTGATGAAGTCCCATTTGTTCATTCTTTCTGCTGTTTCCCTTCTCTGAGAAGACATGGTGTCTGAAAAGATCCTTTTAATACTGATGTCAAAGAGTGTAGTGCCTACGTTTTCTTCTAGACGCCTTATGGTTTGAGGTGTTAGCTTTAGGTCTTTGATCCATTTTGATTTTATTTTTGTGAATGGTGACAACGAATGGTCAATTTTCATTCTTTTGTATGTGGCTGTCCAGTTTTCCCAGCACCATTTGTTGAAAAGGCTTTCTGTTCTCCATGGTAGGCCCTCAGCTCCTTTCTCAAAGATTAGCTGTCCATAGATGGGTGGTTTTTTTCTGGGCTTTCAATTCTGTTTCATTGATCTGTGCAAAATACAGAGCGACAGATGTGTGTGAATGGTTTCTGTTCTGATATGTAAAGATGTCTGAGTGACCACTCTCATCTTCAGAAGAAAAATACTAAACACTCTTAAAGGGAACACCTCTACTTAGATCCATGAGAGATTTGAGTTTACATGGCAACACTGCCCCCTACATGAGAGAAGGTGAATATAGATAATGCCCATGTACCAGGAGGCGGAGTGACTGGAGCAAGCAGCTTTCTAGGAACACATCAACATAACAAGAGATGAATTGCTAGACACACAGTATGGATTATCTTGAGAGTTAAAAACTCTAGGGAGGGGCCAGTCTTAGGGGTCCCCCCACATTCATGAATGTTTCCTTCAGCAGCCCAACGTGGTCTTCATAGTGAAGATCAGAAAAAATTGCCTCCTGCTTCATCCAGCAAATGAGGAAAAACCTTTTGATATACATGAAAAGCATATTGCTGTCTGTGAAGTAGACCATCCGTCAGATAAAACTAATGTACCCACGTCTTAACTCAGTGTGTAAAGTTCAAATAGACACCTGCAGTCACCTCAGCTCCTCTCTGTCAAAAGCAGAGGAAATATAAGTGCTCAGATCCTGTTGTAAAGTTCACGGTCCAAGGATCCTTTACCACCAAACATTGCAGTTTTCATCATCACGTGAGAGGACAATTTCCCTTTGAAATCCCTGACACCATATCGGTAGGGCCCCAGGATACAAACACTGGATGAAAACAGAGCTGCAAGACACAGATTCTACTTAAGAATGAGTTTCTAGGGAAACCCAACAGACTTACCCTGCAGAGTTCCAGTTCCATCACCTGTGGGCAATGGCGATCTCAGCCAGCCCCTCCGCAGTCAAGGGGCCCCCTCTCTTCACGTGGCTCCCAGAATGCAGAGGGCACTTTGCCAAAGGAAGTCCTGGGAAATGATGGGAATTTCCACCTTTCCTGAAGTGCTCAGGTGCAGGAGGTTGTAACCCCTCCTTTGTCAGAGGCCAGGCCCACTGTTTCTTGAAGGGAAGAGGCAGAAATGGGTCGAGCCACATCCCTACCTGCCCTTGCACCAACTTCCAGTGCTTTCCTGGGTCCCCATAGTGATGTCTCTGTGGCTGGGAGACCTGGGGTCTAATGTTGTAAGGTCTCCTTCCCCGACCAGTGAATATTCCAGGGAGGGCAGTGATCAAGGCCTTGGTGAGGATGGCCCATGGGGCTGACCTGCATGAGGTCTGCACGCAGGCGAGGCCTCAGGTGTGATGGATCCCAGACCACAGAGACCACAGCAGAGGACATGGCAGCTGGGGGAGGACGCACAGACCTTTGTTGTCCAAACTGAGCTTTAATGGGAAAGCAAAGTGAGGAAGGGGCACGTGGTGAGGGGCGCGTTTCTGGAAGGGATCACAGCAGCGTGAGGGGCTGGAACACGGTGATCACTGCAGCCATTGTGGGCCCTGACTCTCCATCTTCAGGCTCCTGAGCTGTGACTCTTACGGAGATGACCTTGCTGTACTGTGTAGGCACAGGAAGTGTGAAGGCCCTTCGGCATCAGGAGGGGCAGGCGGACCCTCCTGTGGAGATTGGTTTGTCAGTCAGGGGTCACCCCTCTGTCACACGGGATGGGCTGAGAACCGTTCACTCTGTTATGATTGAGTGCATGTGGGCTGAGGAGGTTTGTGTAAAGCCTGGGGCGTGTGTTTGTGGGTGTGTCTGTGAGGCTGTGATTCAGTAAGTGTGGTCTCCTCCTGTGTACCAGGCCTTCTGGTAGGTGCTGCAGTGAACCGAGGGAACAAATACCCCTGACCCCTTGGAGCTGACATTCTAGGAGACAAGAAACAAGCGATACAGTAAGACGTGAGCTGTGTCAGATGGGGCCTAGTCCTGAGGAGGGAGAGGAAGCCGCAGAGGAGTGTGAGGGCCTGGGCAGTGGGTCTCTGGGCCATTATCTCTGAGGATCTGTGACTTCAGGTGTCTGTGTGTGGGTGTTTTCACATGTGTCCAGTAAGGAAGCCTGTGTGATTTTGTCTGTCTGTCTGGGGGGCTGTGTGTGGATGTCCTTAAAATCTGGAATGTTTATTTTCCAGGTTTTTGCCTAACTGCCCTGGTAGCACCTTTTTCATCGTGTTGGGTGGAGCTGGTGAGAGCAGACATCTCTGTCTTCTCTCTGATCTGAGAGAGAAAGCCCGCAGTCCTTCACCATCAAGAGTGACATCAGCTGTGGGTTCGTCACTGATGCTTTATTTCAGGGTGAGGGAGTTGACTGAGGGAGTTTATCCTAGTTTCCTGAGTGTTTTCCTTGTGAAGGGGTGTTGACCGTGGTAATGCTTCTTTGTATCCATTGAGATGATCCTGTAGTTTTTTTTTTTTTTTTTAAAGATTGGCACTTGGGCTAACAACTGTTGCCAATCTTTTTTTTTTTTCCTGCTTTATCTCCCCAACCCTCCCCCCACCCCCACACACACAGAGTTGTATATCTTACTTGCAGGTCCTTCCAGTTGTGGGATGTGGGTCGCCTCCTCAACGTGGCCTGAGGAGCAGTGCCATGTCCGCGCCCAGGATCTGCACCCTGGGCCCCCACAGCGAGTGCGCGAACTTAACCACTTGGCCACGGAGCCAGCCCCCGATCCTGTAGTTTTTGACATTGATTCTAATAATTGTTTCTTACGTTAGTTCATTTTCAGATAGAAAACCAATGTTTCTTTCTTGGGTTAAATCTCACGTGGTCTTGATGTTTAGGTTATTTTATATATTGCTGGACTCACTGTAGTATTTTTTGTAGGCTTTTTTCATCTATATTGAAAATACTTGTGTGTTTATGTAGTATAT